CGTGTCGTTTGTGGTCTTCGTCGACCTTATTTCTAGATACACTGCTGAATAAAAGTTCGAGCCCGTAAACGCCAACGTATTGACTACGGCTCCTCCTACCATCATTAAAGCCTCGCCATCTTTGAAATAATATGTATTATAAAATATGGATGTTGGCAGAAATGCGATCTGAAACGTTCCACAAGCGCGGTCTATTAGGCAAATACGAAGAATTGTTTTTTTTTGCGGCATCTTTAATCGCGTTGTCTTTCATGTTTGTGATTTGGAAATAAATTATAAAACAGTCTATTATAAAATATGTCGAGTCAATATACAAAGAAATTGAACCCGAGTCGCCGGCTCAAAGTACCTAGGGCTATCAAAGGCGAACGACGAGATGTCACCATTACGCACAATCCGAGGTCTATTGGCGCACGCCAAACGTGAAGTTTTACAGACTTGGACAAAGTTATTCGCCAAGTTTTTCACAAGGGCTTTTTTTTTAAACTTCTGCCCTTTCGTTGGCTAAAGTTTCCGCCTTTTCTTGTACTTGGCGGTCAAATTCTTCTTTACTCGTCGATTTGTTTTCTTGCAATTTGGTCGTTGTATTAGACCGGATCTTTTCTTTCGATTCGTTGAATTTCCTAAGTTCGGACAAAATTAGCACAAATTCTTCTTGAGACACGTCACCGTCTTCGATCGCATGTGATGGTATTATGGTATTTAGCTTGGCGTTTGAAAGCATGCGGATTTTGCTTTTTTAGTTTTGTGAGACAACCTACGACGGCGTATTTCAACAAAACGTTAGCACCAAATGCACCAATGGCAATGCCTTCCATTACTAGCCTGACGGGTGCTGTAACTGCTTTCAGTAGCGCAGAAATGTCAATGGCAGCTTACGTAGCGCCTATTGCTTCGACTCCATATTCCACGTAATCTAGCGCGGTTAATAGCCGTTTATCTTTTTGTAAGAGGTTTCTCTTGCGTCACGTTCTCCTAAGATTTGTCCGCGGATGCCTTCGATCTTTTAAAGGTGGTAAACTTAAGTCGCGTTGGCTTCGGTTTGGTACTCACTCAAGTCTTGGTACATATTCGACCCGACGTTCATTATCATCTTTTTATTATATACTTGTTTTAAAAAATGTCTAGCTCAATTCAAATCCCAGCGCCTTTGTTGTCTACCAGCTCTCCTCGCTTGTTTTTTTAAAGAAAAGGTCAACTCGCTAATGTTTCTGTCTATTAACTTTTTAGGCGTTTTACTGTCAGGCACGGTAACTGAGAAGGGCTCGGTAGGTACCACATACACGTAGGTACCAACAAGGCCGAAGACTGGCCGTTATAAAGTTTGTCGTGGATATTTAAATGTCTTCGATGAATAAACGCGACTTTCATGGGGTTTAAATCATATTTACCTTCATAAATGATGTATGGTAAAAGTTTGATTTTGGGTAGGTTTAACAGCTTGGTCACTTGTTTATTTAGCCTCAACTTGAAGTTGAGGTCCGTAATGGCCAAGGTCACACTCTTTGGCCTTGAATGGACTTTAACAGATGCACCTCGGACTGAGTTTAACAAAACGTTAAACCAATCTATGCCATAATAACCAGGAAACACCACGATGATTCCTCTTTGGCCCTCGAGTAATGATTGAGATGTGGCTTGACAGTTAAGTCTATCAAGTATGGGTCTTCTAAATTCCGTGAGAAAGCTAATCGTTTACCTTCACGTTCATCATTTCGTATTTGATTTAAATCAGACAGCCGCCGACGTAAATCGTGTTTTGTCGGCTCGTATTTTTCTTGTTCGATTTGTACTGATAAATCCTTGGTCCGTTGATTTAGAATTTTAATTCTTAGTTGTTTAGTATTTTTTGCATCTAGTGCGTCTTGTTCAAACGCCTCTAAAAACTCGTTTTTAATTCTTCGTATAGCTTTTCCACTCGTTTCACTTATACTAGGGGGCCTACCGTCCAATTATGTGTCCCACTCGATTAGTCAAGTTAAAATACCCAGATTTAAACTGTGTAGATTTAAACGACTTTGTCGCCTTTTGTGTTATTGATCCTATGTTTCAATTAAAACGTCTGTGGATTTTCGGTTAAATAAAAAGAATGCGTTTTCATTGTATTATTAACCGGTTTTTAAAAAAATCTAGCTCAATTAAAACTGTGCCGTCTTTATTAATGATTTCTTCTTTTTCGTTTCTCAACAAAAAATGTAAACTCGTTACTGATCGTTTACAAGTGACTCAGCGCTTTCGCTCGCGTCTGACGTGGTACACAACATGTATGAAGGCTGCCCGTTGAAATAATTAAAATGGTTGTTTATTTCTAGAGTGTATCCAAAGTTCCTTGGAAGGATTTGTGTTTATCTTTCCAATATAAATAACGTTTGGAACGAGTCTACTTCTCGGCAAATTCAACAGCTTGCCGACTTCTTTACTTAACTGTAATCTGAGTTTTAAATCCGTTATCATAATTGTCACCACGTTTGAGTCTCGG